GTCGTGAAGTTCGAACTTTTCACATTTTTCACATTCTTCATGCCCCAGCTTAGTAAATGAAATATTTAGTTCCTGAAAAACGGACCTATATAAGTCGTAACTACAAGATTGAAATGGATTTTTGTCCGTATAATCTTTATGCATTTCGTTAATGCTTAAAGTGTCCGGCAAATAACGTCTATTGGGGGCATGAGCGCGACGATAATGTGAAACGTTTGGATGGAACGATTCTACGTGTTCTTTTATTAAAGTATTCCGAATATCCTTCCTCGTATCTGTTGATTTTCCTCTCCTGTCAGGCTGTGCTTGTGAAGTGATCGGTTAAATATTCTTTAACGCGTTTTTAATTATAAAATCGTTTCCTCCCTTTAAACCCAACGTCGCTAAAAAAATGACTTACAAACTTGTTTGTCACATTTATTGATCTTACTGAAGAAGAAATAGTTATAACTGTTATTTCGAACAGATTCTGCAGTAGTTTTTCGCTGTTTTACAGGAACGCTTTTGACGTGTTTTATTATAAAATTCCTTCTTTCCAAAAAATTTAATCCCCAAAAAGCAGTATTAACTTCTTCTCGCTCTTCGTCAGTTAGGCTTTCGGTACACTTGAGACGACACTTATTACAAGGAGGAAGGATATCATGTTTTTTAAATTCTCTCACTGATCTTGTAGATTTTGATTTAGTGGTATTTACAATGTTACTAGATTCGTCAGTTATATTTTCATTTAAATTAATATCACAAGTTTGTTCCGTATCCTGTGATGAGTGACTAACACTAGAGTTCTGTCGAATAACCTGCTCATCTTTTGAAGATAAATTTATAACTTCGGACTCATCTTGATTATCTGGTGGTGACTGACTAACACTACAGTTTTGGCGAATAACTTGATCATCTTTTGAAGATAAATTTAGAACTTCGGACTCATTCTGATTAAACTCGCTATATTTAACATTTGATGAATTGACAACTGTGTCATTATTTTCGAATGATGGGCACCAGTGATATGAAGATTGTGTAAAAATATCGTTATTGGTTGACGATTGTAAACTTTCAAAATGCGAAGAAGTATTTCGCATTTCTTGCATATTATAGTCAATCAAACTAGAATTTGAATTTGATGTAAAGTTGTTGCTCGAAACAAACGTATTATTTGCAACTGATGAACTTTTCGACGTTGATCCCAAATGACCATCATATGTTTCTACAATGACAATTAATATTTATTGTAATAAAATTTAATATATAAAGTAAAATGATTCAATGCATTTGAATAGAAAATAAATCAAAGAATGAGCTTCAAAATTCTTAATGTGCAAATTTGAAGTATATTTGTTCATAGTAAAAATATATTATCATTAAATAAAAATTCCACTAATTTGTTATTAAAGAATTTATAAACAATCGTATTTATTTAAGTGACAAAATTATTTTAATTTAAATTGAATATTTTATATTAAAATAATTTAAGGCACAAAAAATTGTTGTCAAAAAAATTCGGAAATTTTCTATTCTTGGTAGTAACAAACCAACATTTTTGATAATATATATACTTCAATACAAAAAAATCATTACATACCATTGATATTTTTACAAATCGTTTCATTCATATTGTGAGTTCCAGGTCCATTATATTCGTTCCACTGATAGCAGTAATTCGAAGGTTCCGTGTAATTATCGTTACTGGTTGACGATTGTAAATTTCCAAAATGCGAAGAAGTATTTCCCATTTCTTGCATATTATAATTATTAAAATCATAATTTAAATTTGATGCCAATCCGTTTCTCGAAACAAAGGTATTTGCAACTGAAGAAATTTTCGACGTTGACCCTAAATGACCATCATATGTGACGCGACACGAGAAAAGGGACCTATCGTTAAAAAAATCGATTTTGAGATTATGGTGCTATTCGACAGATTATTCTTTGCTCTTTCACGTGAAAAAATCAAAAGTTGAAAAACTTAAATAGTGTTAATAATATAAAGCCCGAATTTTAAGCATGTACGCGTAATATATTTACGCGTATTTACGCTCGAAACAAATGTATTAGCGACTGACAGGCTAGTTGACGTCGATTCATCACACTCTGCTAAATTAATAATTCAACATTTTATAAACACTTTAGAATGTAACATTTATTTTAAAAAATCACTTTATGTAAAAGTTTATATTTAGTTACTATGTAATGTGCAAACTGCATTATTTGAAGTGGAAATAAATTTAATATTTATTTTAGTCAATGAACATAACCTTAAATTGAATTTTACTAAAAAGTCAGTTTTGTCTAAAGAATTAATAGACCAAGCCAAGTTAAATACTGTGATAAAATTAATTCCTTTCAAATTATTTATTTTATTCATTATTTTATTCTTAAACTAATACAATATTTGTAAATTACACTAATTTATTTTCACCAATTTCATTTTTACATAAAAAATAATTACTTACCATTTAACAAACTCTGCCACATTGTGTGTAGCTCTTATTTATTATAATACACAACAATTCTCTATTATTATATTATAAATATATTTATATTTATTATTATCTTTTTTTAAAGTGCCGGCAAAACTTTGCAAATACTAATATAACGTGCCGGCATGAAAAACGACGTGATTCCGAATCGGCCCGACGAGAATCCGAATTTAGACGAAGTTGACTTAAGGAGTCTGCTTTCGAAACACAGTGTCTGGCTCATGCCACTTTTCGAAAGAAGAACTCAGTTAACTCGACTTAAGGTTTTTGCTTCGAAACGAAAACTGAGTTTTCACTATGTTTTTGATACACGGTGGTCTTCAAGCACTTTTAGGTTTACCTAAAATGAGTCAAAATTGTGCTAACGCAGTTTTATCTGGAATCGTCCCAAGATTCCAAATTTTCATTTCCGAAAATCGTAGCTGATTCTTTTTTCGAAAAAAACATATATAGAGTAATGTCACCTTGAGTGGACCGCTGAAGCTTTTTTTCTAAAAAATTCTGTATAAAAGCAAATTAATCGGAGGTTTCTATTTCAAGCTTTAGTTTAAATCCCTAGATAAGTGTTTATACCATAATAGCTTTGATTTTTTTTATTGGAAAAAACAATCGACTTTTAAAAAAAGCTAATTTTTAAGGAATGAAAAAAGTGTAACCTTGAGTTGACCACTCCTAAAAAATTGTAAAAGTTATTTTAAATTCTTTAATGTATATAATATTTCTGATATATTGAAACAAAATTTATGCTTATGCAGCTTCAGACCATGTATGTGTCGCAATGTTTACAAGTGAAACCATTTTTAATAATTTTGTCACATATCACATCAATATCACAAAAAAATTAATAAAGAACATAAATCATAGTTTCAAACTAATTTATTGTCAATTTATATCTAAAGAAATGTTAAACTGACATTAAAAATGGAAAAAGCAGGCAGTCCACTCATGGTTATAAACTGTGGTCCACTCATGGTGACAAACAACTTTTTATGGCAGCCACCACAATTTTTTTTGAGTCAAAATTATCACTAAATTAAACTAAGACAATCAATTTCAATGTCCAAAGTAGTAGGAAAAAAATAAGTTACCTTTTAAAACTTAAATTTTACACTACTTTCACACTTCTAAATCACTTTACTCATTGAAAGAGCGACTTCTTTTTTGGTTTGTGTTCTCAAAAATGCGTTACATCAAACGGTAACGTATATGATTATCGCGGAACTTAATTTCTTACGGTTTCTAGGTGCGGTGCTGCTATTCGCACTATTTATTTCACGTTTCCGCTGTCAGATAACTTAAAAGCTCAGGCGGTCCACTCAAGGTGACATTACCCTTTGGGAAATTCCACGTGAGATTTTAGTCGATAGTGGGATTTTTTTACAATTAACTTTTTAAAACTATCTACAGCGTAGACCCTTTAATTTAAAACAAAGAACACAAATAGATTAAAATTTATACGCTGCAGACAGTTCTAAAAAGTTAATTGTAAAAATATCCCATGTGATGCTTGCAAGTGATTTTTGAAAATGTTTTAAAACTCATTTAACACATCAGGCCCATTTCGGTACTTTTTGGAAACTTCCTCTATATTATAAGGTATAAATAAATTTAAAAAAAAATTTTTTAAATCCGGCCCAAAGTTAAAAACAATTAATTTGTTTATAAAAAAAATTTTTTGTTTACATTTCTTAAAACTCGAAAGAAAACTAAAACTTTCATTCTTTGACAACTTTTTCCTAAACTCAATATTTTCGGAATTATAAGCTACTGAATATAGGTCTTCAATTACAAGTCAAAAATTTCGAAAATTTATAACTCGAAAATTTGTACAATTAAACAAAAATAAAAAAATACGAATCTAATTTGTTTCGATACAGAATAGAAAAAGAAATATTTTTTGGCCGATTTTAAGAGGTGGACTTAAATCTCACGTGGAATTGCCCATATATATGTTTTTTTTCGAAAAAAGAATCAGCTATGATTTTCGGAAATGAAAATTTGGAATCTTGGGACGATTACAGATAAAACTGCGTTAGCACAATTTTGACTCATTTTAGGTAAACCTAAAAGTGCTTGAAGACCACCGTGGATAGCAGAAATACTTATGTCGACTTGACTAAGTTTTTGTTTCTTATCTTATGCTCGAGCTCATTGCCTTCTACGATTTTTACACTACGTAACTCGAGTTACTATACTTTTTCTCAAGTATTTCCTTATTTTCTCGATTATCGCAGATTTTTAATAATTATTTTTTGCAATAAATAATTAAAATAAAATTTTTTAATAACATAATTAGATGCAGTTTTTTTTACGAATCCATTGATATAAAAAACTCATTTTTCACAAAAAAGTGACTTAACCAAGTTTTTACCAAGTACGGCAGTATTGCCCCTAGTAGAAAATAACGAAATATAGTTTAAGTAAATTGTTTTCTTATTTTATGATAAATAAGGAATTGGGTCATTGAATTCAAAATAACTATAAATTGTAGTTGATATTTACTTCGTATTACGGTATTGAGTTTTAACTTGTTAAATGCTTCTTTTTTATTTGATCTTCCTGTGAAGCTATAGTTTTGTCCAACATCATAAGTTAAAAGTTGATTCATCATGCCTCGTACAGTTATAAATATATTACAATTGAATCCTAACTTAGCAACAGCTCCAATTTAAAAAAATATTTATTATTTTACAAATAAATTATGTATTGAATATCTGTATTCATATTTAAAATTATGCAGTGAATCAGTGTTTATAAGAGGTACAAACCACTTTTTGAAGAAAAGTTTTTGATGACTTGAGTTTATTTTCAATATTCTCAACTTCTTCTTTAGTTTTTGCAGGAAATATTGACAAGTCATTGTCATCGGAATCAAAATTTGCACAATTGTTTGAAGTTCCTTCTTCATTGGTAGATATAGCTTTTATCATCATCTTTAACTCATTTAATGAATTTAACAGCAGTCTTGAGTCAATCGCTATAAGAAAAAAATGAACAATAGCTTGTTGATATTGACAAATATCATGTAATAATACGTAAAAAAATTAGTTTACCAACTCTAAGCTATATAATTTCAGATCGAAAAATAAATAATTCAAAAAAAATCGAAAATCGTAATTTATTCTTTTTAATGTTTTTCAGCAATAAATAAACATTTTATATGAAAAATGATTTAAGAATATAATAGATTTATTAAAAACAAAAAAATTTACTTTTACATATTACGTAAAAACAAATTTAAAAACTAATTTAGCTTACGTGCCTCACTTTAAGTTAATTTTACCTAAATTCATTTAAATTATTTGTCAATAAAAATTAATTATTTTATGCTTAATTTTTTTTAATTACTCGGTTTACTATCATTACACAAATTTTCTTTGTGAAATTTTAAAATTTCAATGTTATAAAGCATACCATCTGTTTTCTTGCTTCGTGATTTAGATGTACCAGAAGCATCCAAATTCTCGGAAAGATTATTACGAGCGTTGATCTGTCTCGATTCATTGAAAGAATTAAATTCATCCAAACATGTTTGTAAAACATTCTTTCCAGATCGGTTTGAACGATCTGTAACAAATTTATATAAGAATTAATCCATTATTTATCACCAAATTTTGAAGTATGCCTTTACAAAAATTCAAAAAAAAAAAAAAATTCCAAAATTTCAATAATATTTTGTTAAATTAATATTTGAATACCTACTGTTATTTTTTCCAAAAGAATTAAAATTTTAAACAATTGGGACTTAAAAGCTCTTAAAATCTAATTACAACTCAGCAATCCTTCCAAAATTAAATTACTTTTTTGAAATTTTTAATAAAATTATTCAAAACTTAAACAATTGTTTGTAAAACTAATTAATTATTAATCTTTAAGAACAAAAATTACAAAATTATTATTCTTTACAGGAATTAAAATCTTTAAAGATTTTAATTTATTTTATTCTTATTTTTATAAAATAAGAAATTTAATCATTTTTAACAATATCCACTACTCAAATTCCTTCATTATTCAATTAACTTCAAAAATTTTTACACAAATTTAGAAGAATTTATTTTTTGAGAGTGTTTTAAAGTATTTTATTATTTTTAAAGATAATTGAGTGTTACAAAATTCTAATAAAAAAATTTATATTGAATTTGTATTTGAAAAATATTAAAATGCATTTTTTTAATTATTAACCCTTTAACGCCCAGTGGTACATACGCTGTACCACAAATGCATTAAAGTCATCATAACTTTGAAACTAATACATATTACTAAAAATTTTAAATTCTTAGCTCTAGTAAAACTCTTCTAGCAGATAATTTAAAAAAACAAAAGTAAAAAAATAATAATAAATAATAAAAATAATAATAAATAAAAAAAGTGTCAAGATACATTTTCTCCTATGACGGACGAAAAAATTTTAAAAAATTAATCAGATTCTTTTAAAACTTGTTACTCGGGGGTTTTTGGGGTCGCTGATTACGAATATGAAGTTAAAATTGCAAAATTCAAAATGGCGGATCCAATATGGCGGACGAAAAAATAAAAATTAATAGGATTTATATGAAACTTGTCACTTGGGGGTTTTTGGTGTCGCTGATTACGAATATGAAGTCAAAATTGCAAAATTCAAAATGGCGGATCCAATATGGAGGACAAAAAAAATAAAAAATAATGGGAGATATATGAAACTTGTCACTCGGGGGTTTTTGGGGTCGCTGATTACGAATATGAAGTCAAAATTGCAAAATTCAAAATGGCGGATCCAATATGGAGGACAAAAAAATAAAAAATAATGGGAGATATATGAAACTTGTCACTCGGGGGTTTTTGGGGTCGCTGATTACGAATATGAAGTCAAAATTGCAAAATTCAAAATAGCGGATACAATATGAAAAACAAAAAAATAACAAATTAATGGGATTTACATTAAATTTGATGCTTTGGGTTTTTGGGGTTTCTGAGGTTAAAATGTTAAGAATCATAATGGTGGATTTAATAGGGCGAATTATGTTTAATAAAAGTAAGAAATTTAATCCATTTGTGAAAGGAAACCTGGAACGCTTGACTCAAACGAAAAAGAACAAATGATAATCAGCTGGCCAATCAATAAAAACAATTGACAACCCTGGAGCGCATGACTTGAATGAAAAAGAATAAATGATAGTCAGCTGGTAACAATATTCAAGTAAATCCTATTTAATTTTTAATTCTTGTCCGCCATTTTGGATCCGCCATTTTGAATTTTGCAATTTTGACTTCATATTCGCAATCAGCGACCCAAAAAACCCCCGAGTGACAAGTTTCATATAAATCCCATTATTTTTTATTTTTTTGTCCGCCATATTAGATCCGCCATTTTAAATTTTGCAATTTCGACTTCATATTCGTAATCAGCGACCCCAAAAACCCCCGAGTGACAAGTTTTATATAAATCCCATTATTTTTTATTTTTTCGTCCGCCATATTGGATCCGCCATTTTGAATTTTGCAATTTTGACTTCAGATTCGTAATCAGCGACCTCAAAAACCATTATATACCAAGTGTGGTTGAAATCGAATCGGTGGAAATAATTCGGGCTTTAAAGGGTTAAATTTCTTAAAAATACTTTTAGACAATTTAAAAATCAGTCAATTTGTTTTGAACAGTGTTAATAATAATTCTAAAAGAAGTAAATTTTTAAAAGTAATTTAAAGTAATTATTTAAAAAAAAATTTCTATAACTCAAAAGTTTTTTAAGTAAATAATATATATTAAAAAATTAAATTATTGTCAAAAAAGTTTTCGTTTCTACTTTTTTATAAGTTTTTAATTAAAAATAATAAAAATTTAAATTAGCAAACATACTTTAAGGATGAATTAAAAAGTTTTAACATACCTAATTGATTTGGCATTTTTGATTGCTCAATTGCATCATCACCGGACAATTTCTCTTCGTTACTGTCATCTGTGACAGTTTTAGTGCGTTTTTCTAATCCTGAGCTAACTGATGATCCACTTACAGTTGGTTTTAACAGTGAATTTTTGAAATCCGCTAAAAAAATTATTAAATTGAATTAACTTTTCAGAAATTAAGAAACACTATTTTTTAACAAACAATACAATAATTGAATACAAAAACAATACGTACTGAAAGGGTTTAGCTTTTGAATTTTCGTGCCGTCTGCAGCATCATCATCTCCTTTCTTCATACACCTGGAGTGTCTGCTTCTTTTCAATTTCTCCATATTTGTATCGTCGTCACTGCTAATTTCGGATAATTTAATTTGCAAATCAACCCTTTTATTTGCTTTATCGAGGTTATCTACAAAATAAAATTACCTTATTAAATTATATTCTCTTATTGAAAATTATTCAAAAATAAGATTGAAACATAGTGAAAATATACGAACTGTCAAAACCATGTACTTTGCGTACAAGATACGGGTTTCCATCTTTATCAGACCATGCTTTCTTATCAAACGTAGTGGAATTTTTTGAATTCAATAATAGTTTGCGAAGTTGAATAGCAGTTACATTTGATGGAAAATAACTTGAAATTATTTCTCGGTTCTCGTCATAAAGGACCCAATCTTTTCGCACTACTTCAACGCCATCATCAAATGAAACAATTACATACGTTTTATCCATAATTAAAACGAGTGAAGTATCGATTCTCTTCTGCAAGATCAATATTTGTAAATCACATTATCAAAAATTTTTTAAATCAATTTTAGTGCACTATTTATATCAATTTGTATAAATATTTTCATAAATTAGTAAAATAACAAAATAAATAAATTTCTGAAGATAACTGTCCAGTAAAAAAGGATTTTTTAATATAGCATTTTGGACGATTGAGCAAGCCGTCTGCTCAATTGTCCAAACGGCATTTGGACAATTGGACTGGTTGCTCAATTATCCGATGCATTAGGTCCAATCATCCCAAATGTTTTTCGTGGCTAAAAAACTGCTGAATTAAGAAAAAAAGTACTGAAATGTTACAGAAACTTTAGAGAATTCTTAATTCCAGACAAATACAGAAAAATTAGGTATAAAAATACCTCGAGTGAGGAAAAAGAACAAGATTTTTAAAATATCACTTTTTAACTGACAGTGCAATGCTGTACTTGAAATTTAGTTGGCAAAGAAGTGAGGATTCTGATAAAGAGAAAAACTTCATTATCCATTTTCAATACTCCTCATGTGGTAATATGTATATTTGTAGATTTTCAATAATAGTGTATTAACAATAATATTTTATTTTGCTGAATTATCTCTTTTTTAAAATGAGAAACCGAAATCTACAATATATTACCACATGAGGAGTATTGAGAGTGGATAATGAAGTGTTTCTCTTTATCAGAATTTTCACTTCTTTGCCAACTAAATTTCAAGTACAGCATTACACTGTCAGTTAAAAAGTGATATTTTAGAAATCTTGTTCTTTTTCCTCACTCTAGGTATTTTTATACCTAATTTTTCTGTATTTGTCTGGAATTAAGAATTCTCTAAAGTTTCTGTAACATTTCAGTACTTTTTTTCTTAATTCAGCAGTTTTTTAGCCACGAAAAACATTTGGGATAATTGGACCTAATGCATCGGATAATTGAGCAACCAGTCCAATTGTCCAAATGCCGTTTGGACAATTGAGCAGACGGCTTGCTCAATCGTCCAAAATGCTATATTAAAAAATCCTTTTTTACTGGGTGCTTACATTAATAAGTAAAAGATATACATAATGTTTTGAAAGATTTTATTTTAAAAAGTTGATAAAATTCATTATAAACTATAATTTGCAAAATATGTAAAATTAATTTGAATGTAAGAATCACTTGTAAATATAGTTTTTAAAATCTGGAACTCGAGACATGATTCAAGGCATGAAAAGTGAAAATTCAACATACTTTAATAACAAATTGAGAAAATCAAGTTTATTACACATCTACATATAACATTGTTATAGCAAATGTTTCAGAAACAAGTAAGGTTCATATTTATGTACATTTATATAGAATTTAAAAGCACGTTTTAATGTAATATTCTATAAAAAAAATAAAACGTACAAATTTAAAGGACACCCAACTATAATTAATGAAAAGAAAACAATTACTATGCATCTATATAAAATAATGTCGCATATCAAATTTTCTCATAGATTCCGAAAAATCCTTAACACATGCAGAAGAAATATAGAAAAAGTTACTTACTTTTATCACTCACTTTTATTGAAAGCACTTTATTTTAGTAAATAATCTTTAGTACAAATTAATAATAATCCTTATCCTTATATAAAAAATAACTGAAAGTAATTTTTGGACGAATAAACACTATTCTATAATAATTAAATAAACTGTAACCGACTTCTCAAATGCATGAGGCACATGAATCGAAGCACAAGTAGTACAATGGAGAAGTCCGCCAATAAGAAATCTCATTTGCTACAAAGTCACGTGACGTCCGCGTCCGTCGCCAAATTATAAAATTCCGATTTAATCTGGGTGTCACTATGATAATCACTTGCTTCCATAAGGCTATTCAAGTTGGGTGGGGGAAAATTCAAGATGGATGCTAACTGGTGCACCAACATTGTATAGAAAGTGTATGGGATAGAGTCTAATTTTTTAAATATCTCGCTTAAACGAAATTTTTAACCATAAGTTTATTAGGATTTTATGTTTCATTTTTAAAGAACTATTTTTTGCAATAATAAAAATCTATTTTATTTTTTTAATGATTTTATTATTGCAAAAAATAGTTCTTTAAAAATGAAACATAAAATCCTAATAAACTTATGGTTAAAAATTTCGTTTAAGCGAGATATTTAAAAAATTAGACTCTATCCCATACACTTTCCATACAATGTTGGTGCACCAGTTAGCATCCATCTTGAATTTTCCCCCACCCAACTTGAATAGCCTTATTATTTTGTGTGCATGCAGAAACGACACTTTAAGATATGGTATATATGTAATATATTTTGATTAATAAATATGCACTTCAGAACGCTGCTAGACAATACCAGAACATAAAATCTTCAAAAGCGATCGAAAGGTAATTTTAAAAAAATTCGAACCTTACTTCAGGTTGAAAAATGTCTCGCTAGTCTATATATCGATACTTGATGTATATAAAGGTTTTTCCACAGCTCGTCTGCGCCTCGAGACGCATGCATATCCCCTAATCGCCAAGTTTTCGAATGATCAAATAGTCAAATGCCAAGTAATCGAATGGACAAAACGTCGAATGTTAAAAACATCGAATCGGCATTTAGTCGAATGCTAAAAACATCGAATTGTCAATACGTCGAATGTTCGAAACGTCGAATTATCAATTCGTCGAATGATAAAAACATCGAATCGTCAACATGTCGAATGTTCAAAACGTCGAATTATTAATTTTTCGAATGCTCAAAAAATCGAACTGTCAATACGTCGAATGTTTAAAACGTCGAATGCTAAAAACATCGAATCGTCATTTAGTCGAATGATAAAAACATCGAATCGTCAATTCTTCGAATGCTAAAAACATTGAATTGTTAATTCATCGAATGCTTAAATCATCGAATTTTCCATTCGTCGAATGTACAAAACGTCGAATGCGAAAAACATTGAATTCTCAAATCGTCGAATGCTCAGAACATAGAATAGTCAGGGCGTCGAATGCTTAAATAGTCGAAACGCCATCTGTTCGAAATGTCAAGTAGTCGAATGGTAAAGTTGTCGAAACGACTACTTTACCATTCTACTACTTGGCAATTCGAATAGATGGCGTTTCGACTACTTTACCATTCTACTACTTGACATTTCGAACAGATGGCGTTTCGACTATTTAAGCATTCGACGCCCTGACTATTCTATGTTCTGAGCATTCGACGATTTGAGAATTCAATGTTTTTCGCATTCGACGTTTTGAACATTCGACGAATGGAAAATTCGATGATTTAAGCATTCGATGAATTAACAATTCGATGTTTTTAGCATTCGAAGAATTGACGATTCGATGTTTTTATCATTCGACTAAATGACGATTCGATGTTTTTAGCATTCGACGTTTTTATCATTCGACGTTTGGAACATTCGACGTATTGACAATTCGATTTTTTGAGCATTCAACAAATTGATAATTCGACGTTTTGAACATTCGACATGTTGACGATTCGATGTTTTTAACATTCGATGAATTGATAATTCGACGTTTTGAGTATTCGACGAATTGAGAATTCGATGTTTTTAGCATTCGATTAAATGAAGATTCGATGTTTTGAACATTCGACAACTTTACCATTCTACTACTTGATAATTCGAACAGATGGCGTTTCGACTTTTTGTCCATTCGACTACTTTACCATTCTACTACTTGGCAATTGGAACAGATGACGATTCGACAACTTTACCATTCTACTACTTGACAATTCGAACAGATGGCGTTTCGACTATTCGAGCATTCGACGAATGGACTATTCGATGGTTTTACCATTCGACTAAATGACGATTCGACGTTTTGAGCATTCGACGAATTGAGAATTCGATGTTTTTAGCATTCGAAGAATTGACGATTCGATGTTTTTATCATTCGACTAAATGACGATTCGACATTTTTATCATTCGACGTTTTGAACATTCGACGTATTGACAATTCGATGTTTTTAACATTCGACGAATAATTTCCTCGCTAAATTTGGAATGAATTTCGCATAATAATTTACCATTCCTACAAAGGCTTTAACCTGCGTTACATTTTTTGGATCTGACATTTTAACAATTGCATCCACTTTACTCATATTTTTTCTTAAACCTTCTCTATTAATGACATGTCCCAAGTATTCCACTTTATCTTGAAAAAATTTACATTTTGCTAGATTTAATTTAAATCCTGCTCTTTGCAATCGTTTAAAAACTTCTACCAAATTTTTAATATGTTCTTCTGAATTTTTACCCGTTACAATTACGTCATCAAGAAAATTTTTAACCATATCTAAGCCTTGCAAAACTTTTGTCCATAATTCGCTGAAATATTGCTACTGCTGGTTTAGTACCAAAAGGAAACCTATTCATCGCATAAATGCCACGATGAATACTCCACGCCAACAATAATCGCGTTGTTTCGGAAACTTTTAATTGATTATAAGCTCTCGACAAATCTAAAATCGTAAAATGCTCACCTCCCTGAAGCGTCGCAAATAATTCGTCAATTCTAGGCAATAGATATTTAATATCCTCTAAAGCTTTATTAACAGTCATTTTATAATCGGCACCAACCCGTATTTTTCCGTCAGGTTTTAAAATAGGAACCAAGGGCGTTCCCCACTCCGCATTATCAACCTTTGTAATTACTTTCAATTTTTCTAATCGGTCCAATTCACTCTCTACAGTACATTTAAATGCAAACGCTATAGGTCGTGGTTTCATAAAAATCGGTTTAACCCCTTCTTTAATCTTTAAGTCAATTATTTCACCATTATATTCTCCCAATTCGTTATTAAAAAGTTCTTTATACTCCTCCAATAATTTGTTTACTTTTTCATGTTGATTAATCATGTTAATTTCTGCAATATAAAAACCAAAAATTTTCATCAAATCACGTCCCATTAACGCCATTTCTGTTACGACCCGAGCTAAGGTTCAGATTAGTTTACTAATTTATTAGTAAAATGGAGACAAGTTGCTGATTTGTCAAGTTGGTAAGACCTGACATTTATTTTTAAGTGTGGATTCGTTAGACTTTAAAGAAACTACGGGTTTCCGTTAATTAATTATATGCATATTCCTTTTTATAATATGTGTTTATTAACAATATTCAAATTAAACGTTACATTTACTTACAATTTTGAAGTTTGTCGATGATGAAATTACAGAATGAGCGGCAACCGGTAATACGTTGTAACGCTGCAGGTTGCAATATTTTATAAGATTTTCAGTTCGTTTTTAGACACTTTTAACACTAAAAACAACTATTTTAACATTCAATTTAACAACTCTAAGTGTTCTTTTTGACACTGGACCTTAATACCAAAAGAAAACTTGTTTTCTTAGCGTTTCGAAAGAACTTGCACTAATTTTAATAAACTAGAAAGAGAATATTAAAATGAACTGTTATACGACGAAAGTATTAATTTAAATTGTTGAACCCTAGTGCAATTTATTCCTTACAAGAAAACAAGTCTTCTTAAGTTTTATCACTGATTCTAACAATACAATTAAACAATCGAAGGGCCGACTCAACGATACCGTTCGGGCAGAAACTCACCGGAGTAATTGACATTTTGGCTGTAAGAACAGGGGTTTATATAGTAGTTAAAAGCTACTTGATTGGGGATGATTTTGCTTAAAAGGCACGCAATCGGGCCAAAATCTAGAAGTCACGTAGTCACGTATTCTGGCCGATTTCTAGAAAGCACGTATTTAGTATTAATTTCGTTTATAACAATTACTAGCATCTATTATTAACATAGACAGTAATATGACACTCGCCTTTTAATTAATTAGTCATGCGTTTTATACATATTTTCTATGTTTCATCTAAGTCAAGAATAATATTTGAATCTCTAGTCTAGTGTTTAAATTGAGAAGCTTCATATAGTCATATCACTTGTCGCGATTCATGATAAGTGAACGATGGAAGATTAATTACCATGAGAGTAGGTAATCAACCGGCCGCCGACCACTTATCGCACCGCTCTAGATCACGGTCGATTATAACTTCAATTATCTTAGGTGGTAACTTATTCGTGCAACTTACTAATTTATCATACAGGGTTTCTATGTTCATTCCATGTGTGTATATATATATACACATGCATAGACAATTGTTAATTATAATGCAATATTATAATTATAATTATGTTTCTTTTGATAGATTTTACAACATATAATATATTATTTGCAATAATAACAACTATTTATAAAAATTATATATATATATACCAAAAGGTTATATCTGGGGATGTAACAGTCCTCCCCCCTTAGATTATTCATCGCCCCGATGAATTTTGAATTTCGAAGAATTTTACAAAGTATTTAATTTTTACAATGGAATTTCTATTTTGATTAAATGGTGACATAAGAAGTGTATGGTGTAATGTGATCTGTTCATGTTTTTGAAATAATGAAATTGTGCCTGTGATGTGTTTTGTCTGAGACGTGATGTGTAACTTTTATCCGTTCTTCTGAGGTAAGTATTTTTGATCTTTTCTGTACTTTGTTCTTTTCTCCCTCTATGATCTGTGAATTTGTCTAGGGTCATCAATTTGTGATCACGTAGGCATGTCTTCCCTTCCAAGGTGCAGTCTAAAGACGTCTTCAGTCATCATCGTGGGCTCTAAAAGTGTTGGTCGCGTTTTATTAGAAGTTTGTTACATTTTGCGTAGAGTTCCCCCTTTTCTTTTTTTTTTTTTTTTGTTTTATCATGGAAGGAGAATATTCGTCCTCTGCTTCTACTGTCCTTTACGAAGATCGCAAGGAAGGGGATAATTCTGGCACTATAAATGGAGATCTCAGGATTCCAAGTGAGTATTGTTTATTGAATTTTAATGGTGTTAAGTTGGTGAAACATTGTCGAAATCCTTCTTCTTTAATTGTGATTAATGTGATAGTTTTAAATGGAAGATAATATTTCGGATAATTGTCCTGGAGCAAGTAATGAGAATCCTTGTGATGAGTTTGATGACTTTACTCTTTACATTCAAAGTTTTGATTTATCCTTATTAAATTTTTCTAATAGTGGAAATGAAACATCTGATTCTAAAAGCAATGTTATCGATACTTCCATTACTAAATTAAACGGATTAGCATGTAGATTGCGCCGAATTGAAGAACATTTAGGATTTTTCTATGTAGCTTTTTGGAAAATTAAAGTTGAAGATGCTGTGAATACTATTGTTACAGTGTGTCGAGAACGTTTTAATTGGGATGTTTCGGTGAATGATTTTGAAGTAATGCAATCTCTTGAATGTAAACGTGCTGGTGTTTTGTTGCGGGTATCCTCCATGTTGTTAAGAGATAAAATTTTAAAATCTTCATATCTTTTTTTACGAGAAGGATTTCACGTGTCTCGAGATTAATGTAATAAAATATATATATAAGCTTAACATAATTGTTGCTTTCAGACACACGTGATTTTGAAATTAGAAGACTACTTGGCAATATCATGGATTTTTTGCTTTCTTTGATATTTGGATTGCAAATAGCTAATACTATACATCAAAAAACGGTTGAAGAGAGTCATCAAAAACGAAAAAGAGGTCGTCCCAAAAAGAATGCTCATTTCCTTCCTGCTCCTGTTATGAGGAATATTCGACAGGATCAATTGACGCGCTTAATAACGAGTAACATTATGGATGCGGAGAGAATTAAAGAATTATTGACGGAGCTCATAAATTTGTCGCAGTCAATTAATATATCTTCTACAACTGAAATTCCAGATTTTCAATGGTTTGTTTACTGCCGAATATTTTTCTCTTAATTTTTTATTCTTGTATTTAAATTTCCTTTCACCATTTTCTTTCTCTTCTCTTTTTTTTAGTGCTGGGACCTCTCGTTCGCAATTTTGTAGTTGTGGGCGTGTCCTCTCCGTGGATGATGGCATGATTCGCTGTGCTTGTGAGGCTTCTATTACAAATGAATCTTCAATAATAAAAGAGGAATTAGATTTGGATTAATTTGTAAAATGTAATTTTTGTAAAAATTTTTTTTTTTTTTTGATATAATGTTTGAATGATTCTAATGATTACAATCATAATTATGCTTAACCATTGTACTTGTCTTGTAGGCGTGTATTGTGTTTTGATATTAATGTATTATTATCAGTCTTACAGCAAATGCCATTATAAAAATTGATTACTTTGAATTTTTCTTGTCATAATTTTTATTCTTTGTTGTAATAAAGTGATTTATTCTGTATTGCATATCATGAATTAATAATTTTTGTTAACTTAGAATAAAACAATTAGCAATTGTTATACCAATTTTAATTTGATCATCAATTTTAGTTTTGAATATTTTAAAAATTTTTGTTTGTTTATTACATATATACATATATCTATATATATGTATACTTAATCGATTCGTTATAGTAAAGATATAATTTTAATGATACTTATCATTTATTAATGAATTTGATATTTTAATTATTCATTATAACTATTGAATATAGTTTTTCTTTTATTTGTTTCCCCTTTTTTTTATTTATTTTAATATTTATTTTAAAGTCATTACATGAGTTAACGTTTAGTTGTTATTATTGTCGTGACAAATAGCACGATGATCGATTAGGTTTTACTTATAGGTAACGTCATAATGTCGCGTGAGTACAAGGCGCTGTGATCTATCGATAGTCGCGGTCGATGTACGTATGACGTCAAGGACGGTGTGCGCACAGTGATGCAGTCGTTGATACGCAAGACGGAAAGTGAGACAGAGTATAAGCGTCGAGGCGTGTCTTGCGTTATACTAAGTCAAGAATAATATTTGAATCTCTAGTCTAGTGTTTAAATTGAGAAGCTTCATATAGTCATATCACTTGTCGCGATTCATGATAAGTGAACGACGGAAGATTAATTACCATGAGAGTAGGTAATCAACCGGCCGCCGACCACTTATCGCACCGCTCTAGATCACGGTCGATTATAACTTCAATTATCTTAGGTGGTAACTTATTCGTGCAACTTACTAATTTATCATACAGGGTTTCTATGTTCATTCCATGTGTGTATATATATATACACACATGCATAGACAATTGTTAATTATAATGCAATATTATAATTATAATTATGTTTCTTTTGATAGATTTTACAACATATAATATATTATTTGCAATAATAACAACTATTTATAAAAATTATATATATATATATATATACCAAAAGGTTATATCTGGGGATGTAACAATTTTTCCCTTTCTTTGCACAACAATTATTGAACAACCATTTTTAATTTCTTAATACTCAATTTCAATGTTAATCTCTCCTACAATTTTTAAAGGAGTTTCATCATAATTTGACAAAATTTTTGAACATTTTTTTAACTCAATATGGGAAAAATACTTTTGATATAAAGTCTCGGGAACAACAGATAAACCGGCTCCACTATCTATTTCCATTTTAACATTTTTTCCTGACATTTTAACTTCTACCACCGTTGGTAATACCTTGTTTACTTTATTTTGATTAATCGAATACAATTCATATTTACTTTCGTCTTCCGACTCATTTTCGGAAACGTAATTATTTCTACTTTTATTTTCAGAATTATTTTCTTTCTGTGGTTTCGTACAAACTGATTTCAAATGACCTACTACCTTAAAATTATTACACTTGTAATGTTTATACCTACATTTTGAAAACTCGTGATTAATACCTCCACAATTTTTACATCTCATCGCTGACCTTGAAGCTGCTTTCGATCCTTCACCAGTATTCCGTTCCTCGTTCTTTGATTCGTTTGACCTTGCCTTGATTGAAATTTTATTTACACTCATCGATAAATTTTCCGTTGGCGTTGACTCTATGGTGAATTCCTTTTTCAAAGCTATTTCTAAAATATCTTTGAAACTCGTTTGATGACTCTCTTCACAAACACGATCTAAAACTTTCCCTGGCTTTAATCCGGTTACAAATTTATCTTTAAGTCTTTCTTCCAAACTGGATCCAAATTTACAATTCACAGCACTTTTTTTTATTCTAGCATACCAATCACTAACAGTTTCATTGGTCATTTGTTTCAGTTCATGAAAATTTCTTCGCTCTCTAAATACTGAAATTCGCGGTGAAAACTGTTGTTTTTGGCACTTACACAAATCCAAATAAGTCTTATCCTTTGGCAATACTGCATCACACAGATCTCTTAATGTTTTATATGCTTCCTCTCCAATTGTTGTTAACAAAACCGACACTTTTCTGTCATCATGCACATAGTTTGCAATATAATATTGTTCCAGTCTTTCCACATACACATTCCAGTCATCTCCAGGCCTGAATTCCTTGATGGTTTTAACTGCTACACCAACATTAATAACCGATTGAAAATTATTACCATTCACTGCTGGATTTGCCATATTATTAGAATTCTGTTCCACTACTTGGATTCTTTCTAATATTTGATTATTGTGTAAAAGACTCTGTTCTACAAACTGTCCGGCTTGCAATGACAACAATCCTTGTGCGATCTCTGCTAATTCGTTCTCACGCGAGTAGATAAATTATTCCTCTCCATTCTCTATATCCATCCGGTTATCATCTTCTGACATCGTATCTTAACGTGACACATAATTACAGTTTAACCTCGTCGCCAAATGTAATATCCTGAGGAATAAGAACTCAATAGTTAACAATATAGTCTTTATTGTTTGTACATAACTTGTGACTAGTCAGCTTACAAGCTTAACAGCAACTGACTTGTGAATACATCTTCTCAGTCTCACATGTAACACGCAATGAACTATTATAGGTGGCAGCACCTTACGGACCATATACACACTATACTACAGTATATAATTTTGATGTTACCTTTTAAATGCTTATTAATATCTCAAATTTTTATATCTTTTGTATTTCTATATGCTCGATGTAACAAATGCTAAAAAGAATTAATTTCGCAATGCAAGAGATCCAGTCCTAATTTTAAGAATGATAAGGTTGAAGTAAAATCATCTTCTGAATTTCCAAATGCATAATTTGTTCGGTTACATAATGGAAACATAATAATTACTGCAATTTCGATTTCTGATACTTTATATTGAGATTCTTCAAGTTGACATTTTGTCATAGCTTCAAGAAGTTTATTATAGCAAGGATATAAATTGCAATTTCTAGATAAACTATTGGCGACTTAAGTATTGGATATTCAAATTATTTTTCACATAAAAAGCAAAAGCACTTTTTTCAGAATGTCTTAAAATCTTATTAGCATCATCATTTTTCATTTTGTCAAAATTTTCTGTTTCAGCATTTTCTTATTGTTTACATAATTTTAGGGTTAATTGAACACAAAGCTCGAATCATTGTTTGATAATTTCATTAAATTCAATGCTCTTCTGTATTTTGTATACGTCTGGAAACTTTGTCAAGAGCAACTGCCCGTGTCGAAAAGGAAGTATGGGCAAAGTCCATCAAAGTACAGAATAGTATGGGCAAAGTACAGTAAAGTACGGCTTATGAGCGTTTCCCAAACTTTGGAATGTACATGGTTAACAACGATATTTAAAGTACGGGGACAGTTCGGCAAAGTACGGGAACAAGAAAAAAGGGTTTTCGGGAATATTTTCGAATGGAGAAGTACACCAAAGTATTAGAGCCAAGTTTTTTGAGAAATATTAAATCAGAAAATTCAAAATCTGAATTTTTGGAGTTCGGCAAAGTACGGGAAACTACAGCAAAGTATGGGAGAGTCAAAAAAAATAGTATTTTTTAAAATCTTAAATCTCAAAATTCAAAATCTGAATTTTTGAAGTTTGGCAAAGTACGGTAAAGTACAGAAAAGTATGGGAGAGTAAAAAAATAGTTTTTTGGGAAATATTAAATCTGAAAATTTAAATTTTGACTTTCCGGAATTACATAAAGTACGGAAAGTACAGCTAAGTATGGGTGAGTAATAAAATAGTTTTTTGGGAAATATTAAATTTAAATTAAAATTTTGACTTTTCGGAATTACATAAAGTACGAAAAGTACAGCAAAGTATGTGAGGCGGTCTTTTCTTTTTGGATAAAAGGAGAAATTTAAATTAAATAATTCATGTTGATCTCCTTCTATATAGTTATGTACGTTGAGAAGATAACATTTAGGGACGTCTCATGTGATCGTCGAGTTGGTGGGAAAGACGTTGGTTTTTGGGAAGACGGACGACGATTCTGGAGAATTTGCGTATGACCAATTACTTGGTCATCGTAACTCCATACCGACGTACGGATCCGCGCCACGCTTCTGAGTGCCGGCCGAGGACACTGAGATGTAGGAGTTTTGTTGAATATTTCTTTCTTATAAATTAACGGTTGTTGTTTCTTTTTTAAATTTCATTTGGTTTTTATAATTGTAACTTTTTTTATAATAAGTAAAATCGTTGTTTAGTATGGCGATTTGAAGTGGACGGGTTTTAAAACAAAATAAGGACGGAATATATGATTTATGATTTTCCCTTTTAATAAAAATAAAGAGAAAATCGTTACATATGGGTGAGTAAAAAAGGTTTTTTTGAAATATTAAAACAGAAAATTCAAATGCTGTCTTTTTAAAGTCCGTCAAAGTACGGGAAAGTACATCAAAGTATGGGAGAGTAAAAAAATGGTTTTTTTAGAAATATTAAATCTGACAATTGAAATTTTGACTTTTCGGAATTACATAAAGTACGGAAAAGTACAGCAAAGTATGGGTGAGAAAAAAAGGGTTTTTTGGAAATATTAAAACAGAATTTTTTTTTTAAAAGCCTTTTTTTAATCTTGCATACTTTGCTGTACTTTTCCGTACTTTGCCCCTGGCGGTCATGTTTTTCTAAAAATATACCGAATTGGGTATACGTTCGGTATAGGTTCGGTAATTGGTCGAATAATTCAATATAAAAGCATAGAATGTTGAAATAAACTATTGAAAATAATAAATGGAGTATTAAAGTGTAAATTTATCCAATATTTAGGGTAAATTGTGTTGTAAATAATTAAATATTAAT